TCCTTAACTACTTTCTCCTTCAGAATTTTCTCCAGGACCTTGCACACTACAGATGTTAAACTGACAGGCCTGTAGTTACCCGGGTCACTTTTTTTCCCTTTCTTGAAAATAGGAACCACATTAGCTATTCTCCAGTCTAATGGTACCACCCCCGAGTTTAAAGATTCATTAAAAATTATCGCTAAGGGGCCTGCTATTTCTCGCACTAGTTCCTTCAATATTCTTGGATGAAGATCATCCGGTCCGCCCGACTTAGTCCCGTTAAGGTGTTCAAGTTTGGTTTCTACCTCGGATACGGTAATCCCCCCCTCCTGTATCCCCTTTTGTCACACTGCCAATATTCCTAATCCCTTCATTGGCCTCATTGAACACCGATGCAAAGTATTCATTTAGATATTGTGCCATGCCTACATTATCCTTAATCTCCACTCCAGCTATAGTCTTCAGCGGTCCCACTTCTTCTTTCTTTGCTTTCTTCCTATTTATATGGCTATAAAACCTCTTACTATTGCTTTTAATTCCCCTCGCAAGGTCCAACTCTACACGGCTTTTGGCCTTTCTCACTCCATCTCTACATGCTCTGACCTCAATAAGGTAAGTTTCCTTACTGATCCCTCCCCTCTTCCACTCTTTGTACGCTTTCTGTTTTTTCCTAATCGCCCCTTTGAGACGGTCGCTCATCCAGCTCGGTCTAGCATGGAGCAATGGTGAGTTGCTGGACCTCATCAGTGTTTGGGGGGAAGAAACTGTCCAGTCCCAGCTGCGCTCCAGCCGTAGGAATTACGATACCTTCAGGCAGAAATCAAGGGCCATGATGGAAAGGGGCCATGACCGGGATGCACTGCAGTGCAGGATTAATGTGAAGGAGCTGCGGAATGCCTACTGCAAAGCCCGCGAGGCAAACAGCCGCTCGGGTGCTCTCCCCGCGACCTGCCGATTCTACAAAGAGCTGGATGCGATACTTGGGGGTGACCCCACCTCCACTCCGCGCACCACCATGGACACTTCAGTGCGGGGAGAGGGGGAGGAAAGCAGGAGTGAGGGTGCTGGGGCAAGGGGAGACACCCCGGAATCGCTGGAGGCATGCAGCCAGGAGCTCTTCTCGAGCCAGGAGGAAGGTAGCCAGTCGCAGCGGCCGGTACTTGGTGGAGGACAAACAGAAGAGCAGGTTTCTGGTAAGCAGCTTTTATTTTCGGGAAGAAAATGTTTCGGGAGAGGAGGGTTAGGGCTGCATGGATGCTTAGATGCGGAATAGCGCATTGATGTGGTCTATCACATCGCGGTAATCGGCCTCGGTAATCTCTTTGAAAGTCTCATCCAGAACGTGGGCAATGCGCTTGCGCAGGTTTCTTGGGAGAGCCACCGTGGTCCTTGTAACGTCTGCGCCACTGTGCCGCGAGAGGACCATTGCTGCACACAGGCAAGCTGCATATGGGCCAGGGCGGAAGCCGCATTGCAGTAGAAGACCCTCCCTTGCTTCCCAGGTCACCCTCAGCAGCGAGATATCTTCCAGGATAAACTCCTGTGGAAAATGTTGGGACAGTGTTCAGTGTAGGTGCCCCCTGCAGCTGTTGGCTCTCCCCAAGGCACAGAAACCCAGAGGACAGTACAGCCCTGAAACAATCAGTCCCCCTTACTCACCATTTTGGGGCTCCCGTGGGTTATGTGCGCTCTCTTTGGGATGGGAAAATTATGCTATTGTGTAGACTGTGTGTGCCCTCCTTAAGTGCGGGGGAATCATTACTCTGTCTGGTATAAACAATGCTGCCTCTGTTAAGTGTTGCATTTTGCCTTTACAGCTGCAACCTTGAAATCTCAGCAGTCCGTGTTATCACCGGCTGAAAGACTGCAAAAACTCCGGAAGAGACCACAAAAAGCAAAGAAGTCATGCTGCACGAAGTGATGCATCAGTCTCTTACAGAGAATCAAAAAGCGCAGGAGTGGAGGGAGAGCGAAAGCAGGCTCTGCAAGGAAAACGCAGTGCACCAGAAGCAAAGCACGGATCGGCTGATAAGCATCCTGGAGCGCCAAGCGGACTCGATCCAGGCGCTCATAGCCAGGCAGGCAGAGCACTACCGCGCCCGCCCCCCCTGCAGCCCTTGTCCCAAAACTCTTTCCCTTGTGTCCCCATGTCACCTCCAACCCACTTTCCCCAATATCTGGGTTTTTACCGCCTCCAGCTGCCTCCAACACCTGTATCTTCACCAACCAGCACTGAGAACTACGAGCCTTACCCTGGGCACTCAACCCCCATCACCATGCAGTATAGCCATCCTCAAGTGCAGCACTCATTGCACAGCACTCCAGACAGGACATACGCAAATCTGTGATTGTACCGTTCCTCACCCCACCCTCTTGCCCTTTCTGGTTCCCAAACAGTTGTGTTTCTTTCAATAAATGAATTTTCTTTTCAATAAAATGGATTTTTTGACTTTGAAAACATTCTTTATTATTGCATAAAGTAAAAGATACCTTAGCCCAGGAAAGAAACAGACACTGCAAATCAGCTTAGCAAACACAGATTCCTACTAACATTGTAACCACTGCACTTCACTCCCGTGCAGGGCAACAGACATTACTGCTGGTTTTCAGCCTCAGATTGCTCCCTCAAGGCATCCCTAATCCTTGCAGCCCCGTGCTGGGCCCCTCTAATAGCCCTGCTCCCCGGCTGTGCAAATTCAGCCTCCAGGTGTTGCACATCAGAGGTCCATGCCTGACTGAATCTTTCACCCTTCCCTTCACAAATATTATGGAGGGTACAGCACGCGGATATACCCGCAGGGATGCTGGTTTTGGCCAAGTCCGGCTTCCCATATAGAGATCACCAGCGGCCCTTTAAACGGCCAAAAGCACACTCCACAGTCATTTGGCACCGGCTCAGCCTGTAGTTGAACCGTTCCTTGCTGCTGTCAAGGTTCCCTGTGTAGGGTTTCATGAGCCACGGCATTAACGGGTAAGCGGGGTCTCCAAGGATCACAATGGGCATTTCAACTTCCCCTCCTGTGATCTTCCGCTCTGGGAAAAAAGTCCCGGCCTGCAGCTTCCTGAACAGGCCAGTGTTCCGAAAGATGCGTGCATCATGCACCTTTCCAGGCCAGCCTGCGTTAATGTCAATGAAACGCCCACTGTGATCCACGAGCGTCTGGAGAACCATAGAGAAATACCCCTTCCGATTAACATACTCGGATGCTAGGTGGGGTGGTGCCAGAATAGGAATATGCGTCCCATCTATTGCCCCTCAACAGTTAGGGAAACCCATTTGTGCAAAGCCATCCACAATGTCCTGTACGTTACCCGGAGTCACGGTTCTTCTGAGCTGGATGCGATTAATGGCCCTGCAAACTTGCATCAACACGATTCCAAAGGTTGACTTTCCCATCCAAACTGGTTCATGACCGATCAGTAGCTGTCTGGAGTTGCCAGTTTCCAGATTTTAATAGCCACCCGCTTCTCCACCGGCATGGCAGTTCTCAATCTCGTGTCCTTGCGCCGCAGGGTGGGGGCAAGCTCCTCTCACAGTCCCATGAAAGTGGCTTTTCTCATCCGAAAGTTCTGCAGCCACTGCTCGTCATCCCAGACTTGCATGACGATATGATCCCACCACTCAGTGCTTGTTTCCTGAGCCCAAAAGCGGCGTTCCATGGTGCTGAGCATGTCTGTGAATGCCACAAGCAATTTCGTGTCGTATGCGTTGCGTGACTTGCTATCATCATCGGTATGCTCACTGTCACTTTGGATCTTAAGGAATAGCTTGACTGCCAAATATGACGTGCTGGCGAGACTCGTCAGCATACGCCTCAGCAGTTCGGGCTCCATTTCCCGCAGATCAAAACGGAACACAGAAACCGTTGAAAGATGGCGCCAAATGTGGACGGAAACACAGGGATTGCTGGGATGCGAAGCGATGCATCACGGGGCATTGGGACAGGACCCAGAATGCCCCGCACCCCCCGGCCCCTTCCCACAACCCACGGCGCCAGAATGGGAAGAGGTGCTCTGTGGGATAGCTGCCCATAATGCACCGCTCCCAATGCCGCTGCAAGTGCCGCAAATGTGGCCACGACAGTGCGCTGTCAGCTGTCAGTGTGAACAGATTGCAGCACTTTCCCTACTCAGCTGTACGAAGGCAGGTTTAACTCACAGCGCTGTACGTCTGCAAGTGTAGCCATACCCTGAAAGTCATGATTCCTGGGTCTCTATTTACTTTACCACTGAGTTACTGTGTAGCCTTGGGTACATAATTTAAATTTTATGCCTCCACTTTCTGATTTGGAAAATGAGAATAAGCTTACCTATCTTAAATAGGTATTAAGCATCTGGACAAAGTTTTATATCATTTTACAGCACTGTAAACCCAGACCAACTCCAGTGACTTTGATGTTACGCTAGTGTGATTTAAAAGCAGGATCTAGTGCATTCGGTTTAATCATGGAGCTGCAGCATGATTCTCTCACTTATACCAGTGTAAATCTGGAGTAAATCCATAGAAGTCAGTGGTGTTGGTGTTGGAGGAGTATTAGGTCATAAAATATTGCTCATTGGCAATGTGTGTGTGTGTGTGTGTGTGTAGGTGTCAAAAGGCATTCTTTACAGGTATCCAAGCTCAGCTTTGGGTGGAGGGAAAGGGAATAGTGATGTCAGCTGACGTACAACTAGCCCAGCAAGCAAGTTAATAATTAAGAAAGTTTTTAAAATTCCAGGTCAAATTCTGCTCTGTTACGCTGGTGTAAATCTGGAGTAACTCCAGTGACTTCAGTAAAGTTGCATTGGATTTGCATTAGGGTAGTGGAGACCAGAATGTAACCCATTGTATTTAAGAAACTTTCTCCATTTATTTAATGAACTTCTGGGCCAACTTTTCTTGTGGAGACTTTTTCTCTGAGTCAGAAAAGCAAAACCCAGTCATTTATTCTGAATCTTCTATTCCTTAATGTTCATGAGGTGCTCAGCTACCACAGTGATGGAGCAATATTATTACCAAGTTAAATAAGTTATATGTACATAGCCACTCCCCTGCAGAAATGTTTAGTGTATTTAAATAAACAGAGAGGTTTTTCACCATAATATTTAAAAAAGTAGGTAGGGAAGATATACAGCAGAACCCTCTGAAAGTGAAAATTATTTTCACAGTACAACTAGATGTGGGTCCATTGTTGGAATCTGCAATTAGGAAAACTTCCTACTGTACTCAGTAGGGTCCTGGTGTACTGTTGCCCTGCTCCCTTACACCAGAGAAAGTGAGGTTAAAATGCTATCAAACCAGAATGTGGAGGGCAATGGGGAATTAGGCCCTAGGTTTTTGCTAGCATTAGGATTTCAGGATTGTTAGTAGGAGGCTCACTATCCTTGGAATTGCGGTTGATACTCTGAAGTTGTACCAAACAATTCAAGACTTTAATTCTACTTCTTTACAAAAAGTGTCACTCTATAAAAAGTCAGCGTAGGCAGGTTCCACAGTATTTCACAACCCAGGACAGGATACACAGTAAGAAGTGTGTGTGTGTGTGTGTGTGTGTGTTATTTGCACTGATTGGGCCAAATTGTGTCCTTGTTTAAATAGCTTCTGTTTGAGTCAGTGGAATCTGAAATCTTTTCTTTAAGAGAGAATTTGAATAAAGAAAATCACTTTTTTCTCTACTCCTGAAAAAATGAAAAACACCCATACTTCAATAACCAGGCCTAACTGAGGGTTCTGTTACCTTACAGTGCAGCATACAAAAAAAGCAACTATTTGCTTTAAATGATTAAACTGACTTAATTCCAACAAAAGGTTAATGAACACACCCACACACTGATCTTCTGGTAACACTAAATTCATGAAACCATCATTAGAAAGTGGAAACTTGGCTGTCCCGTCACCAGTCCCAGTTATTGTGATAGGCACAGCTTCGTATCTTAGTGTGATCCCAGCTCTACCCTAGCTTCTTTATGGTCTCTGCCAAACTTTTAGCAACAAACACTGTACCCTGGGAGCAGGAATGCAACACCTCTAGACACATCTGTTGAGGAAAGAAAACATTGTTTGTAATTCTACTATCCTTAGTCCCTCCCCCCTCCCCCCATTTCTTCTCTCATCCACTCCTCTAAAATTCACACTGTGACTTGCTGCTGTTCAATGTAGAAGCAAGTGGTGGCCCTGCAGCTGCTATTTGAATGTGTAGCTGGAGCTCTCTCCCTCCTTCTCCCCCTCAATGAATGGCGTCAGAGCATGCTGCAACACTGCCCTGAACTTGTTCTATCCAGTTTACTCAGCCAGCTTTTTCCTAGAGATACATTCCTGTGGCTGCCTGAAACTTTACAGGAGAGAAACCTTCTTGAGCTTTTTAATTTTACTTCAATCAGTGAACAAAGGTCAGATCATCTTTCCTTATTCTGTATGTCCCTCCCTCACACACTACCTCCCTTTGCATCCTCACCTCTCAAAAAAGGAATCTGTTCTATTAAATGTGTGAACCTGGAGTTTATTTGCAGGGGGGAAACAAAAAATGGGAGAGAGCAGAACTTGGGTCTCTGATTTTTACTTCAACACTCTACCTCCTCCTCACCCCCACCCTCCTCCCAAATTAAAAGCTTTTAGACAAGCAAAGCAAATGGTGGGGGAACAGAGGAGGGGGTAGATTGTATCACTTGGTTCAAGAGTGCTACAGTTCCAACACTAAAATGGACCAGACTATTCAGCAAAACAAAATAAACAGAACTTTATTGAGTCTTCATGCTTTGTTGAAGTTCGTTCACTGAACCTGGAGGAAGTTGCTGATGGGAGCTGTTGTGCATTTACAGTGTAGACAGGTGACTAGTCCACTAGCTAAGCTGTATAGCTGGTCTGGAACACCACTAGACCACAGGACCTTCTTCCTCATCAGCCCCATGGCAGAGGACTGGTGAAGACAAAAAGGCTGACCAAATTAGTGGCTTTTTTTCTGACCCAAGCTCCTAATTGTTTTTTGTTTTGTCATCAATATGAAGATGAGAAAGAAGTGGGGATACTTTGTGGATATGGTTATACCTGCAGTATGTGCTTGCTCACTTGTTCTGACAAAGTATCCACTAGTGCCCTGTGAATTTTTGCATCTGTGGATAAATGAATATAGTGACTCAGCAGGCCTTGCTCACTTCACTCTGTAATATAGATGAAAACTTCATACACGTGTTGCTGTATTGGAAGACAGCTTGGTGTGAATAAGGCCCCAAGAGCATATCTGCATACATCCCAGAGTGAGGCAACTCTAAATCCTCAAACTCAACCACAGGGAGGTAATAGGAAATGTTAATTTCAGAGGCTACTCTGAAATAAGGATCAATCAGAAGAATATGCAAGTGCTACTAGAGGTGACGATAATCCTGTCCTCTTTAACCTATGAATTCCAGTCACCTAAAATTGTATGTATATAGTCAAACTGTTATGCTCTATGGTCTGTGACGCTCTAGGGCCTATTCTGCTCTTGGTCTCAGTGCTGAGTTCTCCCTGATTGCAAATGGAAGTTTTCTGTAGGCAGTAAGTGTGGAGTGGAGATCAGAAATGACCTTACTTTAGTATGGCCCGCAAAATGGGGTTGGTCCCATAACCTAGGAAGATGAATATAAATGCATATTTCCATACCAACATGTCCCTTTTAAATTTTTTAAAATAAATATTCCCATCCTCTTTATTTGTAAGAATTAGCCTAGTTTTTAGTTTTTTGTTTTTTTTTTAATTCTAAATCCTCAGAATCGCATGATAAAGAAGGGGGGGGAAATAGGATTTGGGGACACCTCTGCTCCTTGGTGTCTTCTCTGTGCTTCAGTATGCAGAGAATGTTGGGGGCAGTGGATGTGAAAATATGTGGATTACGCCTGGACATTTATCTTCATAGTTGGGGAGGAAGAACAGGAGTACTTGTGGCACCTTAGAGACTAACAAATTTATTAGAGCATAAGCTTTCGTGGACTACAGCCCACTTCTTCGGATGCATATAGAATGGAACATATATTGAGGAGATATATATACACACATACAGAGAGCATAAACAGGTGGGAGTTGTCTTACCAACTAAGGGGAGGAGTACAGGCTGCAGGGAGTTAATACAGCCCTGAGAGAGCACTAGCAGCTGTGGTGTAGCTTCACTGCTGCTCATGGTCTGAGGGAGAGGACTTACCCCACCCTCACACTCCCTATGAAGACCCCTACCAGTTGAGCTACATGGAGAACTTTAACTGTCAGAAAGCAACAAACTGTCATAGGGGCCAGCCACTAGAGGGAGACATGATCACACACAGTAGGCCACTCGATGTAGTAGATATACTCCCCCTGTTCCAGAGCATCTGAGAGCCACAGGAGTTCAGGTCCCAAATGAGCTACTGTTCTGTAATGAACTATGGCCGCTTGCACACAGAGACACCAAATCAGCAGTAACTGCACCTGAGACCTTCAGCAAAAAACTCAGGCCATTAACACTTGAGCTAACGGGGCACTTTCCTAACTCTGGGAAGATACCAGGTCGTATGTTGTTGGAGCCAGCCATGAGGGAAGCGTTTAATATTCTGGCTACGTGTCTGCGTCCAGTGCTCATTACATGTGCTGATTCCAGGTGTTGGTCCCTTGTAATTAAAAAGAACCATATGTTGCTTTGTGTCACTGGCCTACATTCCTTTAGGAGATATTTTAGGTCAAATTTTGCTCCCCTCATTTATGTGGCAAGTTCTTCCACAGCCATTACTTATGTGAATAATGGGAGCTGGATTTGGGTCTTTAAGAGGGAAAAAAATGACTAGATATTAGAAACAAAGAACACACAGCAATCAGGACCATCAAGAAGAGAGGCTTGATGTGAGCCTCTGGTCCTTGCCTTTCAAAGAATGAAAATGAAATGTCAGAGGAAGTTACCCCTTTACTATCAATCACACCTAAGGCTTTGCCTCCAAGGTGGACGCATAATTGAGCAGCATAATGTGGTACTCTCTGTACCTATGCCCTTTCACAGGATGTGTGCCATCCTTCTTGATGCAATCAAGGAGTAAAATAGGGTCAAGCAGTTCTGTCCTGAGGCTGTGGCATACCAGTCCTGGAAACAAGTCAGCCACGATGACTAAGAGTTTCCCCAGGAAGCAGATCAGATCCTTAACAAGCAGGTGGTTTATGAGCTGATAAAAATGATCTCAAAGGGCAGGAATCAACTCACAAGTAAAAGAACAGAAATGATCAGCGTTTGTTTCTCTTGCTTCTGGAGTCAGAAATCAAACTGCGGGTTTAGTGAAAAGTGGGTTAATATGCTGGTAATTCAGTGCCTACTAGCTAGGAAGCATAATAAAGCCCACATTTCTTGTTTGGTGTAGGGAGAATGCTGCAGAAACAGAAATTTTATTACATAATTATGCCTCCTACATAAAGCTTTGAAAAAAGCTACCAGGGTTGTGCATCATTAAAATGACACAATATGCAGCTGTGATCAGAGTCCTGCATGTGCTTTGGACTGTACAATACGTACACACTGTTTGTGTCCTTGCAACATTCATGAATTTCAACTCACTACAGTTATGAGGGAGGAGAGCTGATCAGAATGTGCTGCACTCTCTGCCCTGAAAACTGAGACTCACTGTAAAAACACTTTTTGTTTTACCAAAGATTTAATTAAAAGATTGAAAGGAAAGGGAGTGAAAATGCAATTTCTAATTCAAATATATTAAATTCAGACTCAAGCACATTCCTGTTTAGGGCAACCAGGCCTAGGAGAGCTGCGGAGGCCACGGTATGAACAGCCCTGCGAGGGGAAGAGATTATCTTGGTTGCTTTGCAGAGACTCCTCTAGCTAATGCGGAAGTGGCATTGATAGGCATCAGTGGGAACTGAGCTGAGCCTTCTTCATCAAGGCAAACCTGTCCTGCAGTGTGAGACTGAGTGTGGGTGCTAAAAAGAGAAAACAGTTGTGTGTGTCTGGGAGGAGTCTATGTATATTTATTATGTGTATTACTATAACACCTGATACTTGAAATACTTAGCATATAGAGAGCTTCCTGTCTTAAAGCACTTTACAAGCAATTAATCCTCACAATAGCCAGGGCCGGTGCAACCCGTTAGGCAACCTAGGGTTGTGCGGGTGGCGACCACGACGGTATTTCAGTGGCGGGACCTTCCGCCGCCTCTGTGGGGGGCAGCATTTCAGCGCGGGACCTTGGGGAAGGATCCCATAGGAACAGGGAGGGGCGGACTTGGGGTGGGAACTTTGGGGCAGGGGTGGAGTCGGGGGGGGGGGCGCTAGCCCCACCGGCGCCGAAAAAAGTTGGCGCCTGTGCCCCTGAGGGGTCCCGATCCCCAGTGTGAGAACCCCTATTCTAGTCAGACACACAGGTACTGCTAGAGGCCTAATTTGACCTTCAGAATCTTCTTAAGTCAGAATCAGGGACCATTTTGCTAAACTCTGTACAAACATAAAGGAAAATATGGTGTCTACCTTGTAGAGCTTATAATCAAAGGCCCTGATGCAGTAAAGTACTTAAGGCCTTCTCTATTCAGGTCAGCATTTTAGCACATGCTTAATTTTAAGTATGTGCTTAAGTGCTATCCTGAATAGAGCAACAGAGGGTCCTGTGGCACCTTTGAGACTAACAGAAGTACTGGGAGCATAAGCTTTCGTGGGTAAGAACCTCACTTCTTCAGATGCAAGATCCTGAATAGGGATGCTTTGTTTAACTGGGGCCTAAGTAGACAAGACAGACGAAGTGAAAGAAACATATAAGCAAAGTGCTCCGTGTTGATTGGCAAGTGTCTTATTTCCATGTTGCTTTTGATTATTTTTATTGAAATGTATTATGAGTTCAGGATGGGGTGAGAAGAAGAAGACAGGAAGGCATGAGTTAACAGAAGCAATGGAATAGGAGAGAGAGAGAAGAAGCAAAAAAGCAAAGATACTGAAGTGATTTGTCCCAGGTCACCCAGCAAGTGAGTAGCAGAGCAGGAATTACACAAGGCTGACTTCTCACTGTCTCTTACATCTCACTTGCTAATAAATGCTTTGCAATAACAAAATTTAATCAACAATTTTGTTGATAATGCATCAAGCAAAAGAAAATCCAGCTTGCTGCTCCGTTGCTTGGCAGTGCTAGCAGGAGTAAAATCTTGATTTTTGTCATGAAAATGATTAGCTCTGATTTGTCTGATGCCCACGGAGGAGATATGTTGAACAAGAGGGTGCTATATAGTCACTCTTATGATTGCAACCACACTACGATGGAAAAAAAACCCACGTTTTTAATAGAGTATTTTAGAATATTAAGGCCCAAAATTATTTTTGTTTCCCCTTTGCAGGGATCTACAGTGAACCAGGAACTAAGCTTTAAACCAATTCAAATATACTGGTCAAAATTCTGAGCTCAAT